TTTCCTTGGCCAAGGGTTTCCAGAGCTTCGGGGCCATGGCTGCAAATGCCCTGTCCCCTTTAGTTTTCACTACAGTACACCATAGAACTAGAGATATCTTATTTTTTGTTCTATGCATTAATCTTCCAGATTGTTTCGATTCAGACTTGCAGTCTTCAGCCCGAAGTGACATGGACTCAAGTACTCAAGTGACATCACTCGAAGGCATTTGTCAGACTTCAACAGCTCCCTTTGGAAGCTTTTGTTCAACTTTTATTACATTTCATTTAAGCAGCAACAATTCATTTGTTACTATACCAAAAACTAAGTTTCCCTAACGACAAATATGTGACTGTAATGGCTGTTGAATGAAATATATCAAATGTTTTAGCTTGTTTATAGCTTGTACTCCTAGATTATAATACCCTGCTTTTCTGACTACTTTGTTCTGCAATTACAACAGCTGTGTCTCGACTACCTACACCCATGTGACCTGCCCCCTGCTTGATCTGGTGAGTTCATGCCACATTCATGTCAGAATTCCAGGTTTTCTATTTTTGAGCATTCGTGTAATTGGATAACTCATGTCAGTTGTATAATTATAGAGCTAAGTACAAGGGCTAAAGGTCTTGACACTCTGTTAAATGTCAGTGTTAACCAACTTGAACAATGCTATGAAAATGAAATTGAAAATTAAAGTTAAAGACCATCAGAGTGGACGTCATGTTGTATTGTTGTCAGTTAGCTACACTACAGTTGCGTGGTAACACAGCTGTAATTGATAGATGGATTTATGAGAAAGGCCTGTACCACATTACACTGAAAAAAGGTTTCTGTGGAAAAAGTCTGTAATAAGCAGAATCATGCAAAAACACCAGTACTATCTTTTCAAATTGTTCCATGTACAGTTGTGTGAGGCCCCTGCAGGAACATATGTCTGATTTATTTTTCAGAAATATTGGAAACTGGAGGAACACACCCTGTCAGTCCTTGGACAGCTGGAGATCAAGGCAGGACCCTTGGCCTTCCCTTGTCTCTATGGGAATGATTTCTCAGCGATTAGCCAGGAGAATAAAAAAGGAAAACATTACATGTTATAGCATAGCCATAGGTATTATATACAGTAGGAAGCAGAGAGGAAACTCATAACTGCACATAAACATCTGAAGCATTAATAAATTTTATTTCAGGTAAAACAACATTAAACAACATTTACAGAAGGACATTACATCTTCCATAATAACATTACATACAGATGGTAACAAATAATGCAACAGATATTCTACTGTATACCTATATTGTTTCACTTGATGAAGTGACAATTCGGTTTTCCAAACCACTTGTGAGAATGATGTATTTTCAGTGCAGCATACAAAATGAAAAACAAAAGACAAGAAAGCCTTGTTGATAAAGTTGCAAACACATAGTCATTGTTCAGCACAGAGAGGATGCACGCTGGATCCAACTTATATGTTTTTCCTAATGAAACCACTTCTGTCCACATGATAAAAATGCCAAAAATAGATGCCTTATATTTAGATTCATCATACATGTATATTCATATATGACTTCTCTTTGATAGCATTAAGGGGACATTTGTAGCCCTGTTAACACACATTGTGGAAGCATCACTATTACACTTCATAGAAGGTGTTTCACCACCTCAACGATTTCCTCCTTTGACATTTCTATGGATGTTTTTATTTTTGTCACAGTGCTAAATGTGCAATTCCACCTAGTTTTTTCTTTACTGGACTCTATTTGAACTATATGAAGAACATTCAAGTTTGAACAGAGTGCCTTCAGGAACTCTGCCCACACAGGACTCAAAAATATATGTTTTTATACAAGACAGCTGCCAAAGCTCTATAGAAATAAAGAGTGTTAGGGCAAGGATATAGCAATGTGCGCCGCAGTAAGTGTGTACAAAGAGAAACTTACCAAAAACTAATAATTCCGTTGCTAGTGCCTGCAGTCCCTTAAAGCCACACGAGGCTGGGCAATCTTCGCACAGCTCGATGGTATTAACCCTCTTCTGTCACACCGTTTTACTGGCATTACCCATCGCCTCTCTGCCCCTTTTTGATTGCTGCACAATCGCAACCCGGGTATGGCACTGAAAAGCCACGAGATAACTTCAAGTACAACATTTATACAAGCTCTTCTCACTCTGTGGCAGAGGCTAAAAACCAGGGATGATATTTACATCTGTAGGAAGGGTTGATTTGCTCTGTGCCAGGCAAAGCAAGGATATACATATACAATATACTGCATATATTTATATATTTATCATTAAGGGCAATGCAGGTGCATAAATGTGACTATACAGGCTGGAATGTAGGGCAAACTGAATTTTTTTTAAAGTGCATTTTTAAATCACTACTGGCAAGAGTTTAACCCATATTTATTTATTTTTTCCTCAGAGCCACTATGCTCTATGGTTGAAAAAGTGACTGGAACACAATCATGATAAAATGTCAAAGCGCTCTAAGACTCCGCCTCTGTGCTTTTCTCTCCTTTAAATGATTGGTTCAGATGTTTTCATGTCTATCTTTACACAATATTCACATGCTATATACAGTATGTATATTGAAAGAAGTATAGGTCGCTGTAATCATGAAGACATCTCCTCATCAATGAGCTACACTGTAAAAAATAGGGGACATACTCCACAGTCCTCATTCTGTGCAAACATGCATTCCAATTTTCAGATTAATATTCAGAAGCATGAGGTCAAGTTTCTAGCCAAATGTAGAGCAAATTTGAACTTTCAGTATATCAACACAAGAATATCCACTACTGGTATGCAAATATTGGGAGCTGGGTGCATCAAGACCGAGAAGAGTTTGTGGCACTAATGCTCAAGTTTGATGCCATTAATGGTAACCTCAAACCTTGAAAAACCATGTTAAAAACCATATGGAAATATGCCATTAATTGTTTGTTTCATAAAGTAAGGTGAGGAATGTTACAGTCTCCTCATCACTCCACAAAGACACTGATGTTTTCCTGTAGCTCCATTTTTCATTTCTTCAGTGGCGTGGAAGTTTGAGCAATGTTAAAGTCACATGCTTCATATATATCATGATTTATTCACCAACTTTGTTTCCACTTCTTTAAAATTAGCACAAAAACAGATGGAAATGCACTTTGAGTGCCATATCGAGGGGATTTTGGGATGTTAAAGATATTCCTTCTCTGTGCTAACTCAGCCTTCTTTTACTGTCATGCTCATCTGTTCCCAAATCAGTAATATGTGTAATGAAAGTCCAATTAAGTGGTTTTTGACCAACAGATGGCAGAGAAAACACAACTCAACAATGAGCCTTGATCAAATTGTCATGTTTTTAAGGCCAGTATCTTAGCAAACACCAACCTGCTTTATTGTCACACACCAGCACATACACGTCCCTATTAGAGGCACACACACGTACAGCTGTTGTCAGTTACACTACTGTGCCTATATTCTTATAGAATAGAACAACATAGACACTCCATCCCAGCCACCTAATAAGTCTAAGTCTGATATAGTTCGTCACTTTCACTCTGGTTTTGTCCACTAGCTCATGAGGAAAATATCTGGCAATAAACGTACACACAATGAAGAGAATAACTCAATTCTTTGAACCCTGACGGCTGACTCTGCATATTTTGGAATGCATGTTGGCACAAACTGTACTGACTGTTTAGTATTTTCTCTGTAAAGGTATCGCCACATCGCTGGTATGGAGAAAAGGGATGATTATATTATGTGAGTGTTGTATTAAGAATGACATGTAAAAATCAGAACCCATCTCCGAATGTGACAGATTGCAAAGCAAATACCAGCTGAAGGGGGGCATGGAGGGGCTACAGGTTTATACTGTACTGTAGCTGATAGGACTAAATGGGTGCAGGAAATTTATCTTAGCAGGCAAGACATTTATATTATAAGTGTATGTGTGAATGTGTTAGCAAGGCAATTGCAATTATCTGCTGTTTTCAGTTCTCCACAACATCACATTTGTAGCCTCAACCTTTTGAATAATCAACAGTACAGGGCCAGTATTATTGTTTCAGTCTATGTCAAACTGACTGATAAAGAGGAAGTCATTGTAGTGATAGTACTTCACAATTACAGTATCATCACACATCTTAGTTGTAATATTAAGATATTTTCACACAAAACATCAAAGGCAAAAAAAAATGTGTAAAAATCTTTCCAGATGGTACAACATCATACATCAAAACATTTAGAACAAATAGGATGTTGAGGGGCATACATAAGGATACATATGGGGGAAGTCTCTGCATGAAATCACATGTTGGTGGTGGAGGGACTAGTCAGTTATTCACCACCTACATTACACATACTACACACTGCAAAGCACTCAGTACTACACTCGCCCAATGTGCAAAAGAAGAGAAGTTCCAGACCATTATTAACATTTGACACATGAACTGAACAAGAAGTTGCGGTTATTGACATCTGTTTCTGATAGAATATTGCAGATCTTCTCATGTTATCAAATAAAATGAGAGGGAGGATTGTCGTGGGCCAAATCAAATAATAGGGCACACAGCCTATTGCCTTGGTAGTTTGCCTGTTGTACATTAGCTCATATTCATGGATGGAAGCACCAGTGCTTAGCTATTGCCCATGTTTAATACACTCACACACCAGCACACACATATCCCTATTAGATACACACACTTACAGCTGTTGTTAGTTACAGTACTGTGTCTATATTCTTATGCATGCTGGTTGGTGCTGTCCCTGTTATGTATGTGTGCACCACCAACATCTCAAGCAGAGATCATTTATAGTGTGGAGTGATTTTTCAGTTGCAGCACAAAAGTCATATTGGTCAGAACTGGTTCCATCATGGAGGTCCACTGGAAAATTAACCAAGAATTCTCTTTCCTAAGCAGGGTCCAGTGTCTTACTTTTGCAGTTTTGGCCATCATTCTTATAGATTATGATCACATGTTAGTCCTATCTTATTTTGCACTTCAAATATTCATTATTATCATCCATTACATTGAATTGCAAATGCACCCTAGTGTCTCTTTCCATGAGATCTGTGGCCAATTTTATAGACTTTACATTAAGATGATGTATGATTTAAAAACACTGTCATGATTCTGTCCCGTCTGCTTCCTGTCTCATGCTTTTATTTTGATACTACTTCCTGTCCCCAGCTCACCCTGACTCCCAGGAACTTTATCTCATCACCCAGATTGTTCTGCTTCTCATTAATTAGACCTGGTTACAATAACATACAGGCAGCTTGTCACCCCTGTGGGAAGCTGACAGATTGTTCTAACACCTGTTCAGACTTTACAGCATTTTACCTGTTCCTGTGATTCCAGCTCTGACCCTGGATTACTGTTTGAGCACCGAGTTTTGCCTAGCCTTCTGTTTCTTGCTCGTGTTTTTCTGTGTATTGACTATCGGACTCCCCTCTCTGACCTCTCGTTTGTGGATTCCTCGGCTGTGTAAGTTTGCTGGCTCTGACCCTGGACTATATTATCAACCTGAGAGTGTGTTTCGAGTTTACGTAGTTTTCTGTATCGTTTTGTTACCAGTGCTCTTATTAGAGACTGTGTTTCGCTTATCCTCGTCTGGCTCTATAATTAAGTTCACCCCATGACAACATCGGCAGCTTTACGCGCTGACCCTGACAAACTCATGATACAAATTATTAATTACTGACATTTTTCATTCAAGGTCTCATTATGTCCATTCAACATATGTTTCTTTAGTAATTATGTTAAAGTAGGCCTAAAGCTGGATTGTTTTCTGCAAAGTTACATGTAAACATACCTACAGTATGAACCTGTGGTGTTAACAGGTAACTGTAGATTACAGAAGCAATGCATTGTGCAGATCTGCAAGCTGACTGGTTGAAGAAGACAAAACCATAACATTAAACCAGTTATATGTAGAAGTTATGTAACATTAAACATGTTTTACATATAAGTATAAAAGAAACCATCATGCAAATGTCTCCAAAGGATGTTCATGCAGCCAAGAAATGCATGATTCAGCACCACATTGATCTTAATACATCCATGTATTGACAAAGCCATAAGCTACTTGCTCATGCAAATTTTACTTGCTGCGCATACAGCAATTTTACAGTGCAGTCCCTTAATTTCAGAAATGCTATTTACAAGTGAAATAATTTGATAGGAATGATGGCCAAAACTTCAAATGTGCAACTCCAGGCTGGTAAATAAGTAAAGAATGAGAAATGGCCGACAAATACCTATGTTCATCTACTACTACTAACCGTTTAGAATTTGCTACTAGATCTGCACTTCAATATTTAAGTCATATTTGCTGATACCGATATGGTGTTACCTGACAAATACCATTGTTAGCTAACAAGCTAACATTATGTAAAGAGAAATTCAGTCACATGTACCAGCTGATTCAAAAGTTATTACCCCATTAAATGACCATAATATGTTATCACATCCATAGTTATGCTTCAACAGGGACAACTGTGCCTAATGGTAGGCTAGAGGGTGGGTGGATATGTCTTAATTAGATGACCTCTAGCAGCTGTAGTAAACATGACAGAAGCAACAGTCACTGCTGATGATGTCATATAAAGAGTGGCAGTATGTTTAGGGAGGAGGTTGAATAGGCCCAATAACAAAACACAGGACAGAAACATGAGACAGGTGTTTGTGTCCTGTTTCAAAGTGATAGCCAGTGTTGTTACTTTAGTAAGTCATTATTATAACCCAAACCATTATCCTTCCCTAAATTAAACTTAATTAGTTTTGTGCTGAAACCTGTTATTTTATGTTTATTTTTGTAATCTTGACAGTGAAGTTCAAGCATGTGATAATGGCCAACTGAGCTGACTAGGAGGTGAAATAGTGCCCAGTCAAGCCACATCTATGATCCTGATGATAAACTGATATTGGCCATTTAATCAGGTGACAACATTCCAAGTGTGTGCATGTACCAGTCATCAAAAATAAGTTTAATCTTTAAAGCAGATGCATAATAACAATGTCTTAACTGCTGCAGTTAGCAGAGTTATACATTTAAAACAGCATCAGCTGTTTTCAGCTACCACAGAACCAAGGACCTCCAATATGGCTACCAGACGATATACCCTCCATCATTAGTATTATTGTTGTCTGTGGTTCCACTAATAAAAGCTGAACCTAACTAACCTAACTAGAAAGAAATGTACAACTTATCATTTAGGATTCACTTTTTCTTTGAACTTACTGCAGTGGTTTTGTTTTACAGATGCCCTTTTGCTCATATGCATGTCTCCTCTGTGTTTGTTGAGTGTTGTGTCTTGGAAGGAGCAGTATAGTGGTGAGAAGATGAAGCAATACTAAAATTGTCCACTATATAGTTTCTAGATATCATACATACAAATATACATTCTTAAATAGGAAGCTAGTTACAAACACAAAACACAATATGTACCAATAGTAAAGTCCCTTTGTTCATACTGTGACAAATGATATATGAGTTATTGGAACCTTTATAAAAAGTAAACAAAATTTGCAAACGATAGCCTGAAATCGTAGGTACCGTTCATAATGCCCACATGCATTCATATCTACTCACTGCTCACTCTTTGTCATGCACACACGTGCACACACATATTATGAGGGTAATAAATAAAGAGAACTAGGGTGCTTTCATTCGCCTGGATCCTCCATCTCAGTATCTTTGTCTTCATCTGTTTTTGCACCAGCCACCTGAAACACAGACAAAGAGACAACAGTCTGTCAGGGACACACTCCAGATATTTGACACTATTAAAAAAAAAAAAAAAAAAAAAAAAAAAAAAAAAAAAAAAAAAAAAAAAACTCAAGCAATTGTATCTCACATTTTCTATACATATCCTTACAGCCTGAAATCATAAAAAAAAAAAAAAAAAAACTCAAACTATTGTATCTCACATTTTCTATACATATCCTTACAGCCTGAAATCATTAGTTAGCTGACACAATGGTGAGCTATACAAATTAAAGTTTATTGTTGAATACAGCAAGTAATCAACTGTTTTATTTGCGTTTTCCTCAATGAAGTGATTTTTGGTCTGGTCATGAGTCATAAAACTATTGTATGATTGCAGTGAGATATTAGAAGATTGCTGTATAAGAACAGATATTCCCAAGTTTACCAGATTTCTGACAGTCTCACTATCTCATATCTTATCGCCAGGGAGTGTCATCCCAGAGCCTTTTTGTCACAGAAAGGTTATACAAAGACCAATATCCAAAACTGTGCTCAGCAACGTTATGGCAACCTGTACTGCAGCTAGTGACACTGAACAGATGTTCTTGGCACATGGATAAAGTGTTGTTCATTAAGAAATAGTTCCAGCGCAAAACTCCACCAAAACACATTTGTGTTTACATTTCTATTTGTACCATTTAAACAAATAAGTCACAACATCTTAATTAGTGAGTCAGGCTATAGCTGCAACCAGTCTCTATACTAAGCTAGGCTAACCTCTCCTGACTTCAGCTCTGTACCAAATGCACAGTCATGGGGTTGATGTCAGTCCTCTAATGCCATTGCCAGATGTCCATTCACCTCCATGATATCAATGGAGGCAGAAATGTCAGAGAGATATCTGCAAACGTGTGCAAATAAGACCCAAATAACTGGCATGGCTAGATGCTCCCAGAGGGCAGGTATATGGATGAAATGAACCTCTAATTTCTTGTTTTTCTGACTTCAACTTTTCTCCTTTTTTGGATTTGGTTTTGACTGAAACTGAGTCTTGACTTTAGTCACCTATAAATTCAATGTCTAATTAAAAAGACATTTCCACTATATGATGTCTTACTGGCACAGCAGGAAGAACCATTATAGCAACAGGGTAATCATGAAGAGAAAGTGAAAGATGAGGAGTAAACAATGAAAGGGATACTTCAGATGAAGTATCAACAGAAAGGATATCTTGTGTCTCTAAATACATGCTTCCTCTATTTCTCTCCTCATATTTTTCACTAACATCTTTCCATAACTGCTGGGCTGCTGAGCCTGATGCTCTGAGTTTCTCTCCTCTCCTCCCCTACCCTCTCATTTCCTCTCTCTCTATGCAACTATATGCCACCATTACACATCACTAACTGTGTGTCTCCTCTCTCCTGTTGTGTGTCCTCTCTCTCTCTCTCCCTGTACCTTTCTGCGGGTAGCCCTGGCTCTGGGGCTCTATGTCTCTCATGAGCAGTCACTGGCCACATCAACCTGACCAGTGTTTGATTGTTTGTTGTGTCTTCTTCTTCTTTTCTCTCTCCTCTATCCACTCACCCCAACCGGTTGAGGCAGAAGGCCACCCACCAAGAGCTGGTGTCTGTCGGAGGTTTCTTCCATTAAAGGGAGTTTTTCCTCCCCATTGTCGCCAAGTGCTTGCTCAAGGGGGATTTGTTGGGTTTTCCCTATGTAATAATAGTGATAACAGTAAGGTCTAGACCTTACTTTGTAAAGTGTCCTGAGATGACTTTTGTTGTGATTTGGTGCTATACAAATAAAATTTGATTTGATAACATCTTATGTGGATAGCACAAAGATGTAAGGAAAAAAACAAGTGAGGGAATTGTGGATGCAATTAAGGGAATTGAGATGCACCCCTTGTCTCTCTGGGATGTACTCTTCACTTTCTGCTGACATGCATGAACGCAAAAAATTTTAACAGCTACCTACATTTTCCTTGTCTACAGGTTAACATCTTGTTTAGTAAGTGGCGTTAACAGCCACAGCTCAGCTGCCAAGGTCAGGTTCATTGACGCTCTGTAGTAGTGTCTGTGTGTGAGGATATACAGTAGGTGTGTGCGTAAAAATGAGTGTCACCTCCTCACCACGGTGTCACTGCACTCTATAGTTGCACAGAATGATTTCATTGTTTTTAAGGATCTCATTTACTGAGAACAGATGTAGGTTTCTGCTCTTCTGGGATCAAAGAGTACTAAGTAGGTGTGTGTGTGTGTGTGTGTGTGTCAGGAGGCTCCACTTGGGAAGCAGATGGAACTGGTGGGTGGGTTTTATGATGAGGATTAAGCAGGCGTGGCCAGCTGCTGGCTGTCCTTTGATAGAGACAGTCTCACCCTCCCCAAGATTGAAATGCCTAAAATTCTCTGTGTTGGCAAATGAAAATGCACAACCAGAGAGAGTAGCAAATGGGAAAAACGGAAATGGAGAGAGAACATAAACTAAAATAAGCTAAAGGTTGCTCTTATAAGTATTTCTGAAATCTAAGATAGATTGAAATAGTTTTGTGTAAGAAAGTCACTTTCGGCTTTTCCCATTGAGGGGTCGCCACAGCAAATCATCACACGGACGACTCACATGTTGACATTTGGCACGCATTTTACACCAGATGCCCTTCTTGACGCAACTTGGATTTGAACCCAGGGTGCCGCAATGAGTGTGTTGTGTCTCAACCACTAGCCTACCAGGGACGACATTGAAATAGTTTTGTACAGTAAGCCCTAATAGTGTTTAAAAAAGCTTTCATGATGCAATCTTAAAACATAACTTTCTGCTCTGTTCAAGTTTGATGCCAAAACTATCAGTTTTTTTCCATATGAAGTTAGATTTTCAATAAATAATTTTACAGTGCCTATAAAAAGTTTTCACCCCCTTGGATGATTTACCCTTTTATTGATTTTATAAATCAATCATGGTCAATGTAATTTGGCTTTTTTGACAAGAAATTTACAAAAAACCTCTTTAATGTCAAAGGAAAAACAGGTTTCTACAAAGTAATGTAAATTAAATAAAAATATGTAATGGGAAATAAGTGCATAAATATTCACCCCCTTCAAGTCAGTATTTAGTAGATGCACCTTTGGCTGCAGTCACAGCACTGAGTTTGTGTGGATAAGTCTCAATCGGGCTCGCACATCTGGACACAGCAATTTTATTTCATTCTTCTTTGCAAAACTGCTCAGGCTCTTCCAGGTTGTGTGGGTATCAGGCAACGGGTAACGTATATTCTCATGGTAGTAACGAAGGTATGTCTGTGTGAAACTTGTTCATTTGAACAAACTGCAACAGTGACAGCAGCGGCAGTGAGGTCAGACTGACTTTATCTGCTGCATAACAGGATTAATGGAGACGTCTGCAGGGTGTACATTATTTATCTTGACACATGAGCTGCTTTCATGCGTAAATATGCATGCCTTTGCTGCCGTTACATAAGAATAATCCAGTCTATTGCTCTATCTCACATTACATCATCATCATGCATTAACTGATCATATATTCTACGTATTTGTTTGTTTTATCCACTACAGTGGCATGGTGGGCAGTGGTTAGTGCTACTGCTTCACAGCAAGAAAGTTCTAGGTTTGAGCCCTGGCCAACCCTGTGCCTTTCTGGGTGGAGTCTGAATGTTCTCCCTGGCGACCTTTCCAGGGGGAACGCCTCTTCTTGCCCAGTGTCAGCTGGAATTGGCTCCAGCTCCCCGCAACCTTCTTCAGGATAAGGGGTATAGAAAATAGATGGATGGATTTGAATTCCCAAACACTGGCTGTATCCTGTAAGTAAGATGGTGCATCTTGATGTGCGCCAAAACTGTTTGACCATCTTCATATCTATACAAATATACTGAGAACTAGTTTATTTTTCTTATTTTCAAAAATAATCTTCATGATACACAATAAATTACCCAGAGAGAATTCCAGCAGATCATTTGTGGGTTTAAGGGTTAATTTTAAGTTGGTGTGGCCAGTAGCAAATGCACCTGTGAATGTGATAAGAAGTTGATATGAGCATGTGTTATCATTATCCTTATTTTGGGTCAAAACAAGCACCAAAATTGTACTGTATTGCCTAATTAGCATACACACAGCCTCAACAGCTCCTCTCCACCCAGCTCAGCATAAGCGCAGTCATTCAAGACAGGAAAATACCAGAGACACCAATGAGCAACAAAAAGTAGACATGTGCCCAAGAAAAACTGCACAACAACTGGGAATGAGCTGGTAGGAAAATACAGCCCAGTGTGTGCTGGTATAAAGTGTTGGAAAAATGTTTGTGAAGGGACAGTAACATCAAGTGACCCACAGTACAATTATTATATGTACTGTACTTGCAAAGAGTAAACAGTAGATGTAAAATAGATACCCATGTACTTAAATACCGTACTGATTGCATTTTGCTGATCGTGTGCTTACGCCAACTCAGTTCTCACAATCAGTCAGACTGCAGATAGGCAGAGATATCTGCTTTGTCTAAGTTCCTGGAGCCAACATGGCACAGGACATGCCACGAGTGCTAAGTCTGACTGTATAAATGACCCTCGGGGGACTGCCCCTCTGAGCATTTTCTTCATGCAACCATATTGTGTGTATTAATGCTCCCTTGCTGCAAGAATAATTAAACCCTTATATTATTCACATAAGTGCCCTCAGTCTGCTTTGTCTATTGTTTAATAACCCTAACATCCATCCATCTTCATCCGCTTCATCCGAGACCGGGTCATGAGGGCAGTAGTGTGAGCAGAGCCTCCCAGACTTCCCTCTCCACACACCTCCTCTAGCGCCTCAGGAGGAACCCCCAAGGTGTTTCCAGGCCAGCCGGGAGACATAGTCTTTCCAACATGTCCTGGGTCTGCCCCGAGGCCTTCTATCGGAGGGACATGCCTGGGGAATACCTCCCCAGGGAGGTATCCGAAGCAGGTGCCCGAGCCACCTCAACTGGTTTCGGTCAAAGTGGAGGGGCAGCGGCTCTACTCTGAGCT